AGATGAGTTTTAGTTAAATGAATGTTTTGATGACTTTGTATATTTTCGTAATGAAGTTCAGCAGCAGTGTAAATCATAAAAGAAAAGTCTCTCTTGTCTAAGAGAGTAATCAAAAAAAAATGTTCTAACTCTAGAACAATACAGCAGCTATCTTCCAAGACAGTTATGTTCAATGAAAATTAATATAGCAGCTATCTTCTGAGACAGTTATGTTCAGTGAAAAATTATACGGCAGTTATCTTCTAAGACAAATATGTTCAGTAAAAATTATTCAGCAGCTAGAAATCGAACAGACTTTTATTTTTGCTTTCTGCCAGAAGGCACAATAGAGAGGCCTTCTTTAACTCTTTACTATAACAATAATATGGCTACAGAGATCCTTTATAGGTTTATAGTGATGTTCAAGAGGAAAGTATAGTAGCTTTAACTATTTAGCAACTATACCTTTCTTTGGACAGTTCAGTTAAGATAATATAACAGTTTATAACTTTATTACTTGGGAGCGATAAACCTTGCTTATAGGAATTACTCTAGAAGGGAAATATCAATATAGTTTATAGATAAAGGTAATAACTTTATTAAAGGAATAAGGCTATCTGTTAGGTTTCTGTTTCTAAGAAATCCTTTTACACTTTACAAGAGTTACTAAACTAAAAGGTAAAGAAAGAGGAGTGTTTGTAACTTGCTTGACTTGGGGAAATTCTTGGGGTTTATATATCTATTAACAATTGTTAAAGCTTAATAATTATTAGAGTAAAGCATTAGACATCAGCTGTCAAACATCAAGCATTAAGCATTAAGTGTTAAGCATCAAGCATCAAGCATCAAGCATTAAGTGTTAAGCGTCAAGCATTAAGTGTCAAGCATTAAGCATTAAGCATTAAGTGTTAAGCGTCAACTGCTATAATTAATTTGTTCTACCTACTATAACTAAATAATAATAATAATAACTAATAATAATAATAATAATAATGCTAATAAATAATAAAATATACATTCATAAAACTATACTAAAATATAATAATAAAATTCATTCTATAACAATGTAACCAAAATACAATGTTTAAATTATATTCTTATTTAGATATATTTCTAAAAATACTTTTAAAAATAAGAAGAATTTTTCTATCTTCTATTCTTCTAAAAAATTAATACATTTTCTAACATATTTAAATTTTAATTAATTAGTCGATTACTAGTTAACAATAATAGTACATATAGTAACAAATGATGCAAATCATTATATAAAAAGATCAAACATAATTTTTTTATTATATAGGAAGAGGGTCACTTTAATAAGCCATACCACATAAAAAAGTATACCAATAGGTGCATGAATAACAGTATTTCTCTTATAACAGTTTTTTTTCCAAGTTTATCACTTTTTGTATGAGTTTTCTATAATAGACAATGCCATTTTCACTTATCTAACCTATATAATTTTAAATAATTTGAATCTTAAGATGACAGTTCTTTCTTGTCTTTTTTGTCTAAGTTTTTTTATTGTAGCCTTATTAAGGCATATATTTTCAAATACACACAAAGTATATACTAAAGACTGGTTCACTTTAAAGTATATTAAAAATTTATTTTAATAAAGCATTATATATCTTAGGATCTAGCTTTTTATGATTACTTGATTGAACTTTTGGTTGGTCTCTTGGACAGGCTAAAGAAAAATTATATAATCTATTTTTGTAAGTTTGTGTTTACTATTGATTATATTATTTATTTTTTTTAAGAACTTTGTACTAATTAATTCATATTATCTATGCTTATTATTTGGCAATAGCTCTATTTAATCTGATGAATTTTGTTGAATAACTAAAAGAGTGGCATTTTGTTTCAAAGCTTATGAATATGTTGCAATCCATCTCTTAATAGTAGAGACCTTAGATATATCTTCTTTATTAATTTCACCAGACTCAACAAACTTATCCAATTCATCATGCATGTCTTGTGCTGTCATTTGGTCACTGATATTAAGATTACTGTTTAAAAAAAAGCATTCTAATAATTCTTTCACATTCTCTAACATTCTTTTGTTACCATTTTGTATGCCATAAGTCTGGGTTTTTTTTAGAGCCCACCTTTTTTTTAAAGAATATGTATTATTAACAAACTATTTATTAGACAAGAACTTATTATTTATTTGAGACTTATATATAATAATATTGTATTTTTTGAAACAAAACCAAAATTTTCAAAATTAACAAACCTTTGTCTTTATTTTCAGCTATATATTCTCTACTTAAGTTGGTACTTCCTAGGTCAATAGCATCTGAATAATATGTAACTTGTTAATTTGAATTTTGTTTTATACAAATAAACTATTTGAGATGGCTATCTAAAGTACTAGTTGCATGATAAGTAACAAAAACCAAGTTCTGATTTTAATACTTATTATGCTATATAATTAGCATTTAGAAAGTTATCTTAATTCTATGATATCTAGCATATCAACATTATTATCTTCTATTTAATAAATAAGTCATATTGTTATTGAATTGGTATACAAAGTAATGTAATTTAGAGTTATAATTCACTTAACTAATGGTAGTAAACTTGAAATTGAAATTGTCTATTTGGAAGTTAGTATTGTGTGATCTGAAGTCTTTGGATTGGATCAAACTATTTCTTTATAACATAGAAGATTAATAGCAGATAGGGAAAATTGTACTGGTTTACTAATAAAAGATATTGATTGTGCTAAGATATATCTGGCAGTTGGACCTTTAATAAGCTACTGCCATAAATAATATTTTAATATTCCAGAGATTGTTTTGACTTTGGCTTTTTTGTTACTCATTTTTTTTGCAAATGGTGTATATTTTTTATTATTATTTTCTTTATCTATTTTGTCAAATAAATTACTTATTTCTTAATTTCTGTTTGGTTCCAAATTGGCAAAGCAAGTTTCAGCAATATTATGACTAGCTGTAACAATATCATTCCTATTCACCAAGTCATATTCAACACGAATATACCAATTAATTGTATGGGTTATCTGTAAAAAAAATAAAATAAAAAATATTAGAGAATATCAGTATAATATCTTTTTAGATACTTACTAATGCATGATGAGAGTCAATTGTAATTTTTGCTTCTCTCAGTTCCAAAAAAAGCCAACTTCTAATCTCTATATCATACCAAACATTCCAATGAGAAATAATAGTCATCAGCTCACTATTGTAATAATGTATACTATTATCAGAAATAATTTTTATCCATTTTGGCTTTTTAGAAAGTATAGAAAACACTGCTTCAGAAAAAGATGCTGTAAACCATGCATCTTGTTTTGTATTAGTAGACTAATAATCAAATGCATTTATTTTTAATTTATTAATTTTTTCATCTAGTGTATATACAAGAATTGTATAAAATGTCTATTATTTTTTTTTAAAGAATTCTTGTTTTGTTTTTCTAGCAGATCAAGGCAGCATACGTATTTTATAATCAGCAATTATAACTGCTTCATCAGAATCAAGTTGTGATAATGCTAACTTAAATTGTACATTAAGATATACTTTATATGCATAATGAGCTAGCCAATATATAAGTTTTTCATTTGTTTCATTTAGTTGATTATAATATTTATTTAAAAACTTTTTTTTAAGATTATTAAAACAAAGAAAAAATTTATCACAGTTGTTACAATATAATGTATGTATATAATTACAATCTCCAAAAATATAAAGGAGACAATAGTCAATGCATTCATTATAAGAAGTTTGTCTATTTAAGTTAATAAGTAGTTCTTTTTCAAAATTTCTTCTCATATGATATTTTAAATCTTCAATACGTGTTATTTATAAATTTTATATATTGTAAGTATATTATATAATAATCTTATATATGTATTCAAATTGATCAAATATTTACTTATCAACTCATTTTTATTCTCTATTGCATTTCTAATAAGTGCAATTAAATTATTAAATGTGTCATAATCATAGTCATTACATGTTTGGCAAAGTTCTTCTAAATCATTATGATATTGAAATTGTGTTGTATTTGCTAAACATATCATAAAAAAGTTTTATGCATTCCATTAGAGTATGTATTTTTAAATTTGATCCATAGTACATTTTTTTGATCTTGTAAATACAACATTAGTAAGCTGCTTTTAGGGTCTGTTTGATATGAGCTTTGGTTAATATTATCCTAATCTTGAAAAAAGTTAAGAAATTGTTTTTTTTAAATCTTAAATATTCACACCAGTTTTCTTTTTGGTAGGTCAATTGGAGGTGCTCTAGATCTATATAATTTTACATGTTTTAGTACAAGATTAATAGTATTTGGACTAATTTAAAAAAAAAAAATAAATAAATAAATTCAAAAATTAAAAAATCTAGTATAATAATCTAATACTAGGAAATTTTGTTGTAATACTAAATAAGAAAATTTTTTTGCAATTATAGATAAGAGTCAAATTCTATTTTTTGATCCTTGTTTGTTTGTATTTCATATTTTATGAAAACAATTCCAGAAAACTTCTTCTTGGTTTGTATTTATTAAAACTGATTCATTATCTTTATGAATATTAAGCAATCTATTTATATACAACTGTTTTATATTTTCTATATCTATTTGTAAATTATTTGATTTGCTCTAAAATTTAATTTCTGATTCTTTTTTTGAATAAGGAGTTATATTAGTACATCTGCATGCTTTTAGTATAATTTGCTAAGCATATTTTTCTTTATCAGATATAAGATAATTAGATAATATATTTTATTTATTATTTTTTTAAATTGAGTTAGTTGACTTATTCCATTTTAAAAAAAATTTTTACCATTCTAATATATTATTTTATGAAATTTTTCTAGAACAAATATGTTGATTATAAAGATGTTTAAGAATTGATAGATCTAACCAATTATTAGATGAACAGATAATATTATCAAAAATAGATATATTTTGTATTACTTGTTGAATCATTATATTTTCTAATTCAAAAAACATGTTTCTATTATTTTTTTTAGAATTCTAGTTTTTTTTCAAACCATTATGAGTGTTTCATCTTCAAAATGTTTTTTTAGTTGATCTTTAATATAAAAATCTAAAGAGACACCATGTTCAGTAAGCTGTTGTAATACAAAACATCTATTGCTTCCAAGTTTAGTTAAAAGTGATAAGGTAAAATTGGTTTTAAAATTATTTGATGCATTTATTCCTATATTTGATATGATGATTACAAAAGAATCAACTTTAATAAAATAAGGTATAAATTCGATTCTTTCTAAAAACTTTTGAACAATCTAAAAATTATTAAATCCTATAATTACTGGTCCTGAATATTGTGTATTTTCATTATATATTTGATGATAAAGTGTATTTATAACTTCTGAAGGTGTATTTGTAATTTTTGTAGTCTGATTATTAGATGTACAAATAAAACCAGGTTGTAATAAATTTTGTTCTTGTTTAACAACTTCAATAATAAATTGATTATTATTTAATATGCAAGCTACATGCATATAAAACCGATAAGGTACTGCTCTAGTATTATCATTTTCACCTATCCTAGGAGCCCACCAATTCTGTGCATATATTCCATAATGCAAATTTAATACAATTGAACCTGGTTCAAGCAAAGTTACTGTATATTGTTACGGTTTTGTCATTTTAAAAATTTAGAAGAGTTAGTTTTTGACATTTAGAAGTGTTAACCACGATTTATAAAATTTGCGTCAATTTTAATTAATAATTGTCGATCATTTTGTATTAGTGACTCATGATTTACCAATTAATTTAAACTTTGTTTAAGATAAATAAGTTATAATAGAATAGACGTATATACTATATACAATAAAAATTTGAACTAATTTGGATAAGCAGTTATTAAGAAAATGTCAAAATTTAAAAAAATCCAATAAATTATTATTATATATCATTAGTAATAACGAAAAGACTATAATCTAAAAGATTACTATCAATATATAACACCTTTAAAAATTTTGCTAATAATATTGGGACCAGAGGCCGATTTTCGCCTGACATACGTTCTATTCGCCGCAAATTACGGAACATGTTATTTATAAATCACCACGTAAAGAAGGGTGTGAAAATTTATTTTATTTAAACTCTAATAGAAAAGAAAAAAGAAACTTTTGTTTGCGTAATATTTATTAGTGTAAATATTTTTATCATTTGGGAGGTAAAATGGTGAATCAATAGATAGGTATAAAATTGAAGTGACTGCTCTATATAAATAAAAAGTCATTTATATGAGTATTTGGTAATCCAGTAATTAGAAACGAATATTGGAGACAAACTGAATGGTATAAGAGTCATTAGACTCTCTTGATAGACCTCGTGTTAACTTCGATATTATGTGGTTGCCACTTTACCTTTTACCTTAAAAGTCAAATTTTATTGAATAAATCAATATTAGCATATTAAGTAAAGTTATTCAAAAGATCAAAAATATATATCCTAAACGTTTGATATGAATCAGGTAACTTTTTATTATTTTTTTGTCTTACAAAATATTGAGAACCAGGTTTTAAATTTTGGTCTTGACCAAACTAGGTTTAACTTAGGTTTGGAACTTGCTGTATAAAACCTGGTTCTTAAGTCTCTAATTTGAAACCTAAGGGTTTAGAACCTAAACCAAACCTAAACTAACTTTACCATCCTATTGACTACGATACGGGCTGTCAGATTTTGAAGAAGGTGCAGGGCTTTGTGATCTTGAAGCTTCTCCTGGTATCACTGAAATAAAGCGAACTTAATATGATTATTGAGATAGCCTAAATTATCACCTCTATTTCATATTTACACTTCAACTGCGTAAAAGGTGTAAAGTAAATGATTAGAGTAAATCTTTAGTGATGAATGACTATGAGCTCTTAATTATCAAATACCTTTGCCACAATCGATGAGACAAAGTTCGGAGCTTCGACTGTGTCCGACACTGCAATAATAGAAATAAAATTATTATAATTACATTGATAAATATCTGATATTTATGTAATACTTGCAAGACGACTTTTGTCTTCTTAGCTTGGAGAATTTGGCTGGCGATGACGCCTACATATTTAGCAATCATATATTTAACAATTTAGAAAGTTTATATGTAAAATATAATGAATATTTATTATATGCTTACCCTCGATTTTCCGTTTGATTTCTTGCCTAAAATAGAATAGACATTGTAATAATATGAAAAAAATAAATTGATTTGCTTTGACTTATTCAAGATAGGGTAAGTGGCGAACATACGTTTTTTTTCGACATATAAATCGTCATCAGAATCACTTTGATTTGCGTTGTCTTCAGAGTAAACGGGAGTATACGGTGATGAAGGATTTCCTTCACTGCTTAGCCTAGAATTATTTGGTAATCGCATCTTTCAATAAGCCTCCAAATAACTTTATGATCAATTGAATGAGCGCTATATATGTTACCTTAGATTGGCAACCCGGCTTGAACTTCTGCCCGCCAGGCCCATACATTTTTCAAGATGTGGTGCATATCTTTTTGATGGATAAGGACGTTGGCAGTTTACACATTCAAATGTTGGCGGGTTATTCAGTTGAGGATGATTCCCGAAAATATCCATCCCCGGTTGAACCACTTAAACAAAGATACGCAATCAGCGAAAAGTAGTGTATGTATGAAAATGATGCCTTCACATTGTGCTACATACCAAAAGAGCGACACCTATATATTAATAGCAGTGACAAGGTAGGTATTAACAGGAATAACAATGATTGAATAAAATGTTTGTGACAGTTATCAACTCACTCAGTATTGCATATTTGGCATAAGGATGATGATAATTTTGCTTCTCTATGCGCTTCAAATATTACGTCTAATGTACATTCATCTAATAGATCACAAAGTATAGAGAATGCCTACAAGAAAGGATATTTAGAGATCAGTCGTCTCTCAAGCTCGAAGAGAAACTAACATTTCACTAACCAAGGCAGCCTTAGGAGATAGATTTGTTGAAGTTTCAGGTTGTCCAACTTGTAAAGGTGTTGAAAATTCAGTATTTAATCCCCTGGACACGTTTATAAACAAATCATTTTGATGCTTATGCGGAAACAGTTGTTTTGATCAGAGTTAAACTTACTCCTCGATATCTTCATTTCCATTGCTTTGTTCACTAAATGACTCTGGCGACGGATCCGAAACAGACATTATACTCTCCCAGAAAATGAATGGTTTGTGAATTAGTTAACCGTTGAAAAGTCAAAGTTGAGACTTCTGTCTTATTGATTAGATAAGTTATCATAAGGCAAAACTGGTTGGTGCAACTATATCGCAAAAAATAAACATTAGTTGACTATTAAAGGAAGGAAGAAAATGCATCTTTTTAATTACACAACGCAAATGTTTGCACCACCTAAGGTAAAAACGCATCCGGAAAATGTGTACCAAGGTAAGTGGTCAAACAGTACGTACTAGATCTTAGAGCTTAACAGGCAAATTTACTAGCATTTTTTTGAAAAACCTTTAGAGTTAATACATATAGTGATTTATATGCTACAGTATAGATTCTGGTTACTTTGCATATAATAAAGATTATAGATATATAGTTTTTATAATTCATTTGTTATACGTATCAAAAGATTTTTTTTTATTTAGAAATCTTCCAATTCTTTAGAAATATGTATGAATGCCTTGTCAAAACTTCTGAAAAAAATAAATAAAAATGTTCTTTCTTAAGTGGTTATAACAGTACTTTATTAAGAGTATTGAAGTATGTCATTATCTGGTTATCTGAATGGTATTCAAATGCAATCTGTCACATTAGTTCAAACAAAACTAAAATAATAACTCAATTTGAAAACATTTTTCATAAGAAAAAAAATTTTTTTTAAAATTATTATAAGGCTATGCAAACTCATATAATTGGTTCTCATAACCGGGCGGGTCACTTTCTCTAAAAATTAAAATTTTAATTTTTTTTTTTATATATAGTTAAATTTTTTGTGTCAATATACAAAAAAAAAAAAATTTTAAAAAAAATTTTAATTATGTAAAAAATTTTTTATATATAAAATTTTTATGCGGCCTGTCGGGTCATTTTTATTTTATGTTATGAGAACCAGAAAATCAACTTTGTATAGTCTAAAGGTTAAAATTTTAACATTAGAATGTGATGACTTAGTAAAGTAAACAAATTGTTATTTTTTCAAGTAGTAGGTTGAAAGTTCAAAATTTACTAATGGTAAAAATTTGAATTTCTATTTATATTATAGTAACTGTTTCTAATAATTAGATTAAAATATCTGTAATTATAATCACATTAGTATAATTTACAGGTTATAAGACATTTGTATAATTGGTTAAACAGACTAGCATTAGACAGTACAAATTTTAAATAAGTTTTTGTAACTATAAATTTATAAAAACTGAAAATCAAGAGCTTATTTGAGAAGACTTGAGTAGAAAAATAATACAATTCTTTGATAGTATTATTATAAAGGTTAGATCTAAAAAATAAATATCAATATGAAAAAGCTAGACAGACAAGAACTTCTAGGTAGAAGGTACTATCAACCAAAACTTTGAAATTCTAACTAAAAGGTTGAAGAAAAAAAATATCAAGTTGATCTGATATACCAATAGACTAGTTGTAGTTCTATTAGACTATTTGAATTAGAAGTTTGAAAACAAAAGCAGAGATATGTTATAAAATAATATTAAAATTTAGATAACTTTGCAAGAGTATAGTTTTGTTAAGATCTGTAAAATAAGTAAATAAATTAACAGTAAGACTTTTTAAGTCTTATTAGTAGATAATAGGTTTTGATACTATAACATGAGTACTAGTATAAAAAAAAATAAAGTTAAATCTAAATATAAAAAAAAACTCTTTCCTGTTCACCCCTGATCGGGAAAGGAAAATAAAAACAACAATCATAAAGTCACTAAATACAAAACAAAACTCAACAAATAAGTTCACTTCAAGGGCCAAAGCCCTTGTACCAAAAAAAAGAAAACTTCCTCTAAGAGTTGAACCTTTATCGACAGAAAAAATTTATAAAATGCTAAAACTCGACATTGAAAAAGAAGAAGACAGTAACTCCCGGGCAGAAAAGCCTAATAGCATTTCTTCTGAAGATGTTCTTGCAACACAAGAGGAAACAGAAGCAGCAAGTGAAGAACTAGTACCAGTAGTAGTAGTTCAAAACAAGGTAGACTGGCTAGAAAATATTATCCAAAGAAACAACAACTTCCAAGCTTTGGAAAACATGTCTATTCACGGGAGCAAAACAAATGAAGAAAATGTAAACAACGACAAAATTAGTCACATGACAACTAATGAAGAGGAGGCAAGCTGTACTACAAAGGAACAGCACAGACACAAACCCATCTTAAGCTATGCTTCAGCTGCCAAACAGGGCACAAACATGTAAGCAAAATTAAAAAGGAGAAAATCAACCTTTGTGGCTTTTTCCCCTAGAAATCAAATTAAGTCAAAAAATAATAACACACTAATCATTGAAATTCCAGATCTTTATAACTCTCTCAATAAAATTATGACCTTATTATATGAAGGTCTGAGAGGAGATATTGTTGCAGCCAAACAACACTTTAAAAAAGGCTTAAGATCTCATCTAGAAATTGTCTTTCCAAACCAAGACCGACTAACATACTATGCTACTAATAGCATTAAAATTTTTAACAAAACATATTACGGCTACATCCTAACAGACACACGTAAATCTTTTCTACCAATTAAAGTAAGAAATGTACCATTAGGAACCAAAGAACGCATCTCTAGCTTGGTAAAAGAAGCCTTTGAGAATTTTGGAAAAATTGTCTCAATTAAACCTTTACTTATTGAAGACACTCTCTATATGACAGACCAATGGATTGTCATTTTCGATAACACTGAAGATGCAAATTTAGAAAAAAGAATTCCTAGATTTACATATATAGATGATAACAGAGTAACTACCGAGTGAAAGGAGTTACCGAAAGTCTGTTTTTTCTGTGACCAAACAGGACACATCAAAAAAGACTGTGCACAATTCCAAGAAGCAAAAAACCTAAGAATACACTATCAAGAATTTAAAAGAAAAAGTGCACAAAACAGAACATCTATTAAAAACTCAACAGAGAATAATCCATATATGGAAGAGGTAGAAATCCTTTCAACACAAGAAGAAACTCAAGACATAAACATAAACGAAACTTCTTTACAAGAACAAGAAACAGAAGAAATTATAACAGATCATGATATGAATAACAAAACAGATACTGTTTGCACAGAAATTCCTATCGAAAATAACCTCAACACAACACAAGAACCAGTAATTAACAATACAAACCTGGAAAATACACAACTAAATAAGCAAAGAAAAGTAGATGACTCTACTTTTACATTAGTTGTGCGCAAAAAAAGAAAACCTAAGGACTCAAAACTCTACAAAGTAACTAACAAAGAAAATTACCAAAATGATCCAAAACAAAGAGCCCAAGGAAGCTCTAAAACTAAATAACCTTTTTTAATGAGCTATTACTCAATCAAAATCACTACGTTAAATGTTAAAGGCTTAAACAACTTAGACAAACAGACTAGAACATTAACACTTTTAAAATCTTATAGACTAGATATTATACTTTTACAAGAAACAAACACTTTTAATACTGCCACCCAACAATTTCTAAAAGACCAATGGCCTTTTAACTCAATTTGGACAGGCAGAACAGCAATCTTAGCAGAAAACAAAAATATAAAATTTAATGATACCAAGAAACTACAAGAAGAAAGAATAATCTCAACATGTTTTACATTCAAGA